GACCTGGGGGCTGGACCATCGGACCATAGGGTGGGGGCAGGTGCTCACCACCCGTGGCTGTCCGGGGAGTTGACGTTGGCGCCAATGTTGATGAGGAACTCGACGATGTCATAGTTGGCACCACAGATGGCGTTGTGCAGTGCTGTGATGCCCTCATCGTTGGGCTGGCTTGCATCGTTCAGCTGCAGGCACAGTGCAGTGGGTGCCAGCCCCACTCACTGGATCCCCCCCACAGCTGGCTCAGGGCTTCCTCTGCCCCCCAGGGCTGGAAAGGAGAGCTGGGGGTCGGGGACTCACCTCGCTGACCGCCTGCTGCACCACATCCAGCTCACCGGTGAGTGCCGCGTCCAGCAACAGCACCAGGGGATTCATGCGCACACGTGGCTTCAACCGCCGCCGTGGAGACGAGAGCTTGCGCAGCACCGAGCGCTTCTCCTGCGGGGCAGGAGGTCAGAGGGCACAGCCCAGGGGTCTATAGGGGTCTGGGGCCCGGCAGAGTCGCAGAAGTGATCCCAGGGTCAGAGGGCACCACCCTGGCCACAGAGCTGGACTGGAGCCCAGGGTGTGCTGGGCAGTTCCAGGGGCTCCCAGCACAACCTGTCCTCTCAGCTGCACTCACCGGGCTGGCGGGGCTCTCCGGAGCAGCTGGGAGGGGCAGGGACGCAAGCCCCGGCGGGCTTGGCTGTGGCAGCGTGAGGCTGGGGGTGGCCAGGACCACGGTGCTGGGCTCCAGGGGTGCGTCAGCACTGGGCACAGGCCCCTCGCGGCGGGGGCGCTGGTGGAAGAGGCGGCTGATGATCTGCTGGTACTGCTTCTTGTGGGTGGGCGGGAGCACGGGGCCCGGGCTCTGCTCCATGGAGCCACGGCGCTTGAGGGGCCGCGGCATCTCAGCCAGCACCCGGGCCACCTCCTCGAACTCAGGCACTGTCTGGGCCTCGGGCGGCAGCACAGGCTGCAGCCGCGTGGGGCTCAGGGGCAGGGGCACCTCTGCCACCTCCTCCGGTTCCCCAGCCTGCAGCAGTGTCTCCAGCTCTGGCTCCACCTCACTGCCCGCTGCGGCCACGCACACAGGCTCCCCTGGCCCTTCGGGGACCGCTGGCAACCCCAGCCCTGCAAGGGACAGGGTTTCAGTGCCTGTGCGTGCCCCCATCCCTGGAGCCAGCAGGGAAGTGTGGGCCAGCCCTGCCTAGGGGATCTGGCCCCCTACTCGGGGACCCAGCACTCACCTTCACCTGCTGCTGGTGCCAGGGTCAGGGCCAGGGCTGGAGGCGATTGGACCAGTGGGGACAGTGGCTGCTGGAGCTGGGGTGGCTTCAGGGGTGAGCGGAGGAAGGGCGGGGAGCCAGGGGACAGCCCCTTGGTGCCAGCGGCCCCGTACTTCCAGAAGGCATTCTGCAGCCGGAAGATCATGGAGAGGGGCAGGGGCTTGTGGCGCCGGTGGAGCCCAGCCTGCGGGCCGGAGGGCGGCATGGCGATACGTGACACAGGCTGCTGGGCCACCTGCCAGCTGCGGGGCAGGGTGCCAGCATGGCCAGGGGGTGGGCGGTGCAGGGAGCTGTCGGCCCGGCGCTCGCTGGCCAGCAGGGACACCTTGTAGTTACGTGGCAGTGTGGCGCTGTGCATGGCGAAGGGGCCCTCCTGCAGATGGGCAAAGGCCACGTGAAATCAGCGCCCACCCCCACCAGCCCCGCACCCCCCAGCCCTCCCAGCCTGGCCCACATGGGATCCCAGCCCCATATCCCCGGCCCCACACCGCCCTCCCAGCCAGCCCCATACCCCTACCCCTGTCCAGCCCCAATGTCCCACCCCCTTCCTGCATAGCCCAGCACCCACCTTGCCCTGCCCCATGCCCCCATCCAGGCTGGACTCCCTCCAGGGTGCCAGCTGCAGCCCTGCGACTCCTTGGGGCCTGTGGCCAGGTCACTGCCTCCTGCAGGGAGACATGGATGAGAGGGCAGGGGCACCTCAGGTGTATAGCAGCCCCTCACCCTGGGGAGCTTCCAGGAGGGCGGAAACAAGCCTGCCCCCACAACCCCCAAGTGCTTACGGTCATGGCTGCCCGAGCGCGATGGCTTCTTCTCGTAGGCCACGTCGAGGTCAGACTCATTCCAGCTCTTCTGGGGCCTTCGCCTGATGGCCAAGTCATCTGCAGAGACAGAGGCACTCAGATGCCTTGGCCGGGTCCCAGCCTGCCCAGCCCACAGCCCCCAGCCCTTTACCTTGTGCCCAGAAGGGAGCAAAGGCGCTAGCCACGGTGGGGTACAGGCTGTGGCTCTCGTAGGGGGGTGGCAGGGCCAGCCGGGGGGGTGGCGTGCGGTCTGGGAAGAACATCTGTGCGTCGGCAGGGGCCGGGCGGGGGGAGCCAGCACGGCCCGGGGAGCTGGAGTAGGCCCGGTACTCGTAGGGGCGCTGCAGCCGCGGAGAGCCCCCTGGGCTGGGCAGGGTGTGCGGCTCATAGGGCACGGGCAGCACCTTGGGCCGGGGCGACTGGGCTCGCTCAGGCGGTTCGGCTGGCAAGTAGAAGGAGGTCCGGGGCGAGGCTGGGCGGCTGTAGCCGGCAGCAAAGGCATCAGTGGTCTCCAGCGAGGTGCTCTTCCGGGCATAGGGCTGTGACGGGGACGCCGCCCTGCCCAGCGGGTCCTGTGGGCGCTGGGAGCTGGTGCTGAGCCGCTCTGCCTGGGGACAGTGTGTGGGGGGGGGTGTCAGGGTAGGATCCTGGGGGCACTCATCCTGCAGCCCCCCACCCTCGCTGGGGTCAGGCACGGGGGTGCCCCGGTCCCAGCCTTAGCATGGGCAGGGAGGAGGGGTCACCCCCGCAGCACCCGCCTGGGGCCTGTGGGCAGTGCTACATCACAGCCAAAGGGCCGGCGGGACCTCAGGGGGCTGCAGCCAACCCAGCACCCTGCTCCAGGCAGGACCAGAGCAGCGAAGGCCACGTGGTAAAGACCAACAGGGCTGTGAGGAAACGCAGCAGGGTCTGAACTAATGGGCAATGAAACGGCTGGTGTGGAGGGATGCACGTGGGCAAAACCCACCTGGGCTCTCCCTGCATGACCTTGGGCTCCGCACGAGCTGTGGCTGCTTCGGGCAGACCAAACACATGGCTGAAAACACTAGCTCAGTGCCCAGCTGCCAGCAGAGGCAAACGCAGCATCAGGGGTGACCAAGGGAAGCGGAAACAAAAACAGTAGTGCCCTGTCCAGCAGTGGGCAGCTTCTCTGTGGCATTGAGGCGAGCAAACCAGGTGGCTGTGTGAAGGGTCCATACCTTGGCCTGCCCCGGGGTGTCTGTCCACAGGGACTGCAGCTGGCGGGACAGCTCATCCACCTTGGCTGCGGCCGAGTCCAGCTCCATCTGCTTCAGGTCAATGTTCTTCATGGCTAGAGCTGGGCAGGAGGGCGGCACCGTGAGTGCCCGGCCCAGCCCAAACATCTCTCAGCCCTGCTGCCCCTGCAGGGCTCAGACCTGGTCCCTTGCGAGCACGGGGCAGGTGCCTGTTGTCTCAGAACCGGGTCAGGGACCCGTGTTATGATGGAACTGCTGAACACCCCTCCCCACCTGTGCTGGGGGTGCCCCAGAGGGGTGCAGGGGGAGGAGGGAACAGGACCCAGGCTCTATCCTGTGTGGGGAGGCTCCACGGGCAGTGCCGCCACCCCCCCAGCACTGGGAGAGCCTGGCACGGGGCGTGGGCAGCAGCTCACCCGGTGCCCAGAGGCAGTGAGTGGGGAGAGGGCACCTGGGGGACCCCAATAACAGCCCCACTCACCCCCAGCCCCACTCACACTGGAAGCCGAGGGTTGATAGGTCCTGGGCACTGCGCACGTTGTCACTGGCCATGGTGCGGGCACACCGCTGGGGCTTCCACACTGCTGGGCACCAGCCACGGGGGCGCAGGGACCTGGGGACTGAGAGCACCTCCATGAGTACCGCGAGCTGCCTGTCTGGCCCAGCCCAATGCTGCTGCACTTGGTGATGCGCTAACTGCCTAATAAACAGGGTGCAGCTGGGCTCAGCCCTGCCCGGGCAGAGCCACTGACTCAGGCTCTTGGGCAACGCGGCCACAGGAGGGCACCTGGCTGGGCCACATGTGCCCGCTGACCTTCTCTCCCTCGGCCACACGCTGGGCTCCACATGCCCACAGCCAGCCCTGGCCCCGGGGCAGGCCCAGACCGGTGCTCCCAGTTCAGGCAGGGCTTCGGGGAGTGCAGGGGGAAGGGGCTGCCCAGCCCTGGCCTCCCCAGTTACCCAGCATTGCCTGGGCCATGGCCCCCATGGCCCAGCCCCATGGGCTCCCTAGAATCCCTTGGGCCACCACACCCCGCTCTGCCCTGGCACAGCAGTCGCATGACAACAGTAATTACAGGCAACAAGGCCTCCACGCCTCTGCCCGAGGCAGCCATGCGCACAGCCATGGGCTCCTGGCCACCCCCAGATGCCACATGGCAGCAGGGGAACAGCCCAGGGCAGCCAGGGTGACCCTGGCTCCAGCACCATGCACGGGCTGCATCATGGCCCCAGCTCAGGGCATGGGTTACGGGTGTGCATACAGGCAAGGAGCTGCAGAGCCACAGCTGGGCAGGCCACTCTGCCTGGGCCCCGCTACGACCAGCCCTGCCCGTCTGGGTCACAGGGGCTCAGGACCAGCAGCCAGGTCCAGGGGGCTTGGGCCCTGCTGGGAGGTCCAAGCTGCAGGCTCAGCGGGGCCAAGCCAGGCCCTGCAGCTTGGGGCCAGTACAGACACCCCTGTGCTGCAATCATGCACCCTGGCACACGGCCCATCCCATTGCACCCGACCCTGTGCCCCATAGCCCTCTGATAGGGTTTGAAACATGGCCCTTTCTGTACTTCCTTCCCGGCATTTGGGTGTTGGGGGGCAGTGGAGTCGCTGCCGCAGGGGCTTTCAGGGATGCCCTAGAGGTAGAACAGGCACCAGCGCCCATCAGGCAGCCCTCAGGGACCTTATCCCTCCCCAGCCCAGCGTCACCCACCAGTAGCTGGGGAGGGGCCCTGGCTGCGTGGAGTCACGTGGGGGCTGCACCCCCTGCCTCCTGCCGTCATGGGCCACAGCCATGCCTGTGCTTCTGGCCAGGTGACAGCTCTGCCAGCCCGTGGGAGGCCGAGCGAAACCCAACGCAGGCACCAGGCCAGCATGGTCCACCCCCACACCTGCTGGGACTGGCTCCACCGCCCAGGGGAGGCAGGGACCCATCAGGCCTGGCTGGGAGAGACCCCAGGATCCTGTTGTCTGGCCCTCCCCGAATGCTGCCTGTGGGATCCCAGCTCCTGCCCCGAAACCCATGAGTCTTGGCTCCAGGCCCTTGTCCACCCAGAGCTGGGATGGAGTCCAGAGCAGGGCACGCAGGTCTCTCCTGACTCATGACCCTGGTGCTGTCTGCACGGCTTCATCCCCCAGCTGGAGGCTGTGCTCAGGGGGAGTCCTGGACCAGGCCCCGGCCTCTCTGCAGAGCAGATCCTGGACTGGAAATGACACCCAGAGCTGGGGGAGCCACCTGCACCCCTGCTCTCCGTGGGGTGACACGGACATGATGCCGT